TCGCATGCAGAACCAGAACAGGCTCCTGAATATTCGATCAATCAGCAGCGTTTGGTGGTAATCAGACGATCCGGCATAATCCAACGCTCGGCACATCCACCTGTCCCTCAAAGCCTGTAAGTGTCAAACCAATATAGTGGTGTTGGTAACGATAGCAAGCGACATTCATATCATGTCCACCAAAAGCACAATGCGATTATGATAGCTACAGAGGCTATTGTGCCGAGGCCGACGTGGGAGCGACCCTACGTGGCACGCAGCACAGTAGTTTTCAATGATCATGCGTATTGTGGCATATGATGTGCGTTTCGAATGGGGATCGTGTTAATCCGATCGTAGCGACAGATAACGGAGGGCAGAACGCGATCCTGGCGCGAGCGACGCGACGAGGCGATAAAACAGCGACGGCGAGCGCCACAAGCAAAGTGGAGCCGAGTGCGAGAAGACGTGTGTTATCTGACGACGACGCATGCTGTGGCCTTGATACTATCGTACCTCTACACCTTTAGAACGAATCGCATCGTGTATTGCATGAGGATAGTTGTATGTGTGCATATGTGGTGAGCGATGCCGCGATTGCCACGTACTCGCATCATGTTTGAATTGTGTGAGAGGCAACAATGCCACGCATGCACTCCTCCAACGCGCAGCACTGACTCAGCATTCAAAGAAAGAGAAGGAAGTGGTGGAGGTGGTGGTGGTGGTCGGCTTTGAGACCGTCTGCCCGATTCGAGGTCGTCCATACACGCACACACACGCATACACACTCACTCAATACCGCAGCAGGTAATTACTACGCTCTTTAGCGCTGCGAGTCTTCCCACTAACCGTTACCGACCACGGCTACGAGACGGCAACCGAACCGCGTGAGGCATTGAGTGCGACTAATTGGGCTGGTAGCCGGTGTGATGACGATCCGCGCATACCACCTGCTCAGCAGATTGTTAGCATTAGCATCATCTTCATGCATTGTGAATTCTCATTAGCTGTCCAGTGCAGGTGTGGAACGGGTAGACGAAAACAATCGGATGCACGTCACAGATAACGTCGGAGGTGAGGCAAATTGTCGAAACAGAACACGTACACGTCAAGAAATACACCAAGTGACGATTAGAAGGTTTTGCATGATGAAAATGGCAGTCAATACTACGTTGTATCAGGCATTCAGACGCGATGCCAGCAGCAGCAGCAGCGGCGGGAAATGCTGATGCATGCTAATAAGGCATAACGACGCTCTCCCG